ATCGGGAAAAATTCCGGCACCTTTTACTCACCCATTTATTAGATTAACTGCATGTTTGATTCATATCGAAATCGGCACCTACGCGTTTATCCACTAATTGTATCTCGTTTTTTTCTCTTACTTTAAACTTATTTTGTTTGTTGGTTTAAATACTAACATGCCATTCAGTTATGTTGTGTTTTATTCAGTGATGTTTTCTTTTGAATAATGGAAGGTCTTTTCACAATTTGTGCTTGTTTTTTAGCTTGTTTTAAATCATTATCTCACGCGTATAGCCATCTGATGTTAATTGCCGTTCTATTCCTAATAAAATTATTATTAATATTTTCTCATTCTTATTCCTATTAGAATTTTAATAATAATTGACATTTAGTTCATGTTATTGTTTGTATGGAAAGTGTACCAATTCATGTATGTATTCCCTTTATGCTTCCCTTACACAATGCCCTGTTGGGTCAATAAGGTATTTTCAATAAATAAATAAATAAATAAATAAAAGAATTTCTAAAGAATGTTTCCGCGCAGATTATTTGTTAGCCACTGAAGTAGAAGCGTTTCTTTTTTTCTTCACCATCTTTCAGTGACAGGACTGCTTTGAAGTGCAATGTTGACATATGTGTACGCCACTGAACATTCTAACCGATAATTTGTTTCAGATTTTTTCGGGATTACTTCTTTATTAGTGTTATCAATAAAAAAAATTCCTACGCCAGATTTCATTTGCAACTGACTCAGGAGCTACTGACTCAGTTGCCCTGAAGTTCACGAGTCACGTTGAAATTATTGCTTTATATGTAATTCGCCATTTGAAAACACTTCGCGTGTTGTGATAAAAAAGTTGCGCCATGATGATGCTATTTTCACTGTAACCATCAGTGAACATTTCATTTTAGTACGTGTTTGTAACATTAGTCATTTCATTGTCTTCGGCAGTTCATTTAATAAGCGCAATCAAGTGATTCCCTACTGTCGCAATTGATTACACTTAGCTTTGCTAATACCTAACCATGTGTTATATTAATATTTCAGAGTGATACGTTACTCATGTTTAACATTGTTGGTGATAACTGATAGAAGGAAGGCATTCTAGAATATTGTAATTTGAATGCGAGAATTGGGGATGAGTTGTGAATTTTTTACCTACATAATATTATCCCTGCTTTATTTCACTAGAAGTATAATGAGAGTAATATTTACCGAGTTCAACGGGTTATAACCATAGTATGATGATCAGGGACGCCGTAGTGGAGGGCTTCAGAAATTTGAACCACCTGGGGCTCTTTTAAATGCACCTACGTCTAAATACAGGTCTCAAGCACTAATTTGTTGATCAAAGTTGTGGCCACCACAGCCAGGGTTTGATTCCACGGCCTTCAATTCAGCAGTCAATAGTAACGCGAAGGGTATACTGGTTGTAGGTTGTAGTCTTGATTTCAATGATGCATGTTGAGTACAGCAGCTTGGTGCCAACCAGGCCTCTCTGCTAGTGCACTGATGTTGTGTTCATCATATTCCTAAAAACTGCAATATATTTTTTATTTTAGCATGCATGCGCTTTGAACAGCTCTGGGTAGTGTGTACTCATGTTATTTATCGTATTTTCCATTTTTCGGAATACCTAATGGCTGTCGCATGTAATCTTGGTTAGTGGCTAAGTTATTATTGTTCCTTCTTTCATACTCTGAAAGGCTGCATCTATTTCTTATTAGCATGTGAATCTGAGCAAGTCACTGTTATACACTTTGCATATCGTACATTAGAGGGCTAATTTGGGCGTGCAGAGCTTACTTAGGCAGCCCATAGTGTTTCGAATGCCTTGAAAATTGCCTTGCGATCAAAAATTACTGTTGTGAAGAGTGTGTTTTTCAGAAATGAACGAAGTCTCTATTACCTAGAAAGGTGCTGAAAAATGAAAACTAATAAGTTGTTGATGATGTGGTAAAGCTCCATGGAGTTAAGGCGGATCTGTGAATCTTATCTTTCTTCAATCATCAACATATGTAATTACCTAGTGAATTATTGTCTGTAAAATGTTTTAAACTGTAGTTTAAATGACAATGAATCAATAATTTTGCAGATTATCGTATGCATGTCCATGTGCATCTAAGTTACAGCAACCGTATTATACCACTCTGTGGAGATGGTGCAATGGGCCCAATGTTTGGTCCGCATAAAACGTGGCTATTTATAGGACACATAGAGGACGGAGACTTTGAGGCGACATAAAAACGGCGGCCAAATTGTACCAGCTAAGAGACACACAAGACGGTCACAGATGTGAAACATACAGAACAGACACTTTGACGCGATATTAAAGCAGCGGCCATATTGCGACATTTAGGAAGCATATAGGACGGTCACAGATAGGCAACATACAGGACGACGCCTTGATGTGACATAAAAATGGCGGCCATATCGCGACAGTTGGGAAACATACAAGTTGCGTCCTCATGTTGCTTCGGAGAATCATACAGCACACAAACAGGACGTTGCAATTTACCTAAGGGTAGACACCATCATCGCACTAAACATGACACCCTGTGTGGCAACAATGGCGGTAATTGCTAGCGACCTATTACAATAACAAATGCATCAGGAGCGATTGATGAGTACGCTTTGCGTGGTGTTCAGTTGACACTTCGGTTGCATGCGAATGATTTTGGAAAACTTAGTTGATAAATGTTAACAGGACTGAAATGCACTCATTTACATCACAGTATGTCGCACAGGGGCCAGAGTTTATCTCGAGGTAGGCCAAGTTCATAAGAGTAACCGCTCGTCTCTTACACGATGTGCTTGTTTGTTAAATTTCGCCATCACGTCATAAAGACATCAGTGTAAGTTCATTAAGAAATCATTGCTTAGCTATGCTTCGCTTCACAAATTTAGAGTACGAAGTCATCACGTCTGGACCGATGCGGAGTATTCAAGTTTTGATTGAAGATTGAAGTTGTACTACGAAGGAAGCACAAGTCTGTGCAATTGTGTAGCGGGCTCTTTGCAGGAAAGTGATCCACCGCGATCGTTATATGTATGCATGCTACTTCACACAATGGGAGAAAAATTGCTAAGTGAGCTAACGTTCCTGTTGCATCTTCTTTACCGAAGTTGTCTCAGGTCTGAGGAGTTACTGACGGAAGCTGCAGAAAAGATGGCCCATATATATTACGAGCAGACGAATAAATGCGTCCCGTGCTCAGTAAACTATGTGTGTATTCTGTGATGTTAGCTATCGGTGAACTCACGTTGGCCTGATGGAATTTTGCTTCAATTCTAGATTATCTAAGCATACACGCAAGGTCCAGAAATACAAGGAATGCAACATGTGTCTTTCTCTGCGGATACTCTCCTGTATAAATAATAAAAGCAAGGAAGAGACTACAGGTGAGAACACAAAAAACTGACACTACTGCAACGCATGATCATAAGCGTGTAAGTATCCAGTCAATCACTCTTTTCTACAAACAAAAGGAAGTTCCGTGCATGCTCTAATCATCCTTGTTCTGATTCAGTTGTATATATCGTGTGTTTCACACGATAGTCAACGCTCGTTTGTCCTTCGATGCTCGTGCATTCTTTTTCCGCTGTTTTTACTAATTAACCCAACCAACTAGCCCCACTAAACGTCCTTGCTCAGTAAAATCTAATCGAAATAAATGTAAAAATCATAATTGAGAAACAATATGCAAGAACAAAATATCAAGTATGAATGAAACACTGCCTTTCACTGTGCTTGCTGTACCCACAGATAATGGTGCAACAATTTACGCCAAGTACTTGTTATTACGCATTTTGCTAGCGTGTGATAGTAGTGCCGTTTTTACTGCATCTCTGTCATCAGAGCCAACATTGCTTTTTTGCGGTCAGGTTCATAGCGACATAAAAGAGGTGTATAAAAATGCACATTTAAATCGTTACAACAGAAATTCTGATCGCTCAGTGCGATTGTTGAGTATTACCTATATATACTTCTTGAAATCTTGAAATCAATACACTACCAATAAAAACACGTGTACAGATACGCTCACGTTGTGCATTAGGGAGCATATTATTCATGGGTATTTTTAAACACGAGTGCATTTCTTAGTCGGGCTATGTCAGGTATCCGGCGTTGTCCGCGGCATCCATGGTGGTGTGCGCACGCCGGCAAGTGTTGTCTCTCTGCTGTCATTTAATCTACAATGGCAACAGCTGCAGGCACACGTGCTTATCCTCGCCCCTAGCAATCGGAGGTTGTGGTGCAAGAGAGTGTAGCATATGGTAGGTGGTGTCTTGTGCCGCTCCTTTTTTCGCAGTTCGCTCTCTCTCCTCCTGAATCCCTACTATCCCGTCCAGTTGCTCCTCACTATAGACAGTTCACTGGCTGGGCGCCTCTCAAGGCGATGGCAGAAGTCAATGAAGGTGAATGTTGGGCGGCAACGGGGCAAGAACTCCTATTTCGGGGCTAGAAATCCAATCGCCTTTGCTCACCATTTCCTTCGGGAAGGTGGGACATTTTTTTCATTCCGAGAAGATGTGCACGCCCCTTGAAATGACGTATGCACTCGCAGATTTGTGACTACCGGTGTGTGCTCGAGTGTAACATGACTCATTCACAAAAAGGTAGTGTGATAGATGCGGTGAACGAGGTTTTGAGTGATCGACAAAAATTTACGTCACTATCATTTAGGTATGAGTGTTACTTGCAGTACTTTGCTGGGTACAGGTATCAGAATAATCCGCTTTTGACTGAAAACTTCCGCCACCAATTTTCAGGGTAAAAATAACGTGAGAATATTCTAGGTTGGCAAAATGAAACATTGATCAACTGCTTTATTACACGCTCACATTGAACTGCTCCGTATCTATAGCTGTCTTGTTACTACAGTCACTGATTTTCGAATTGTTAATATGCACCTACACAACCTGGCTTTCTGAACTTTGAAAAAAATGGTGTAAAACGGCCAAGCACGCATTTGTTATAAGAGAAGGTAAAAAACAGAGAAGAAGCTGAGAGGCTGTCCGGTAGCTTGTCTTCGTTTGTTTGGTTTAATATTTTTGCCATTAACAATAACGTGCACCAAGCAGCCCGTATTTCAGTACTTCCACCGTTTGTAATCACATTCACGCTGATAATAGCAGCACAGAGGCCATGATCCATTGTGAGGGACGTCCGTGTAGGCATCAATTTTAACAGGCTTTGGTGACGGACATCTGAAAGAGAAAATATCAAAAGTGTAAAAGAGTATCTAGAGAAATTATTTCATGGATCGCTTATTTTTATATTAGTGCGATGAATTATGGCCGATCCTACGTATATTGAGACTCCAAGCTGTGGTAAGCAACAAAAAAGAGGCTGAGTAGGGCAAAATGATTAGCTTGACGTGAAGAAAGTGCTGATAGGCGCCCACACCCATTGTGTAAATGGAGTGCTAATGTATATGAAACGCTCCAACAAGGCACAAAAACAATACCTTTGCGCTTTATTCTTACCTTCAAGCAAGCCGAATACCGTCGGAAATTCTACTAGCGCAGGCGTAGTTGAATTCGTGACTAACCCACACTTTTGTGCGCTGATCAACTAGGCCTTATCAAAAGCGCTTCTCTTAAAGAAGAGGAAGGTTACTGCGAGATCACTTGCAATCTATCGGCAACCTTCCGCTTTCCCGTTCAAGCAACCGAGAAATTGATGAAATTCCTAAGGGTAACAGACCTGTATTAGTGGCTGTAGGCTGTGATGCCATATACCGCCCTAGACAGTCACCCCGCGCTACATGTGACAATATGTGTGTGCGCAAGTGATCCACCTCTGTTTCTCCCTTTCTCAACTCTTCCCTCTATCTCTCCCCATCTCTTCCCCCGGTGCTTGGTGGAACACCAATTATGTTAAACTGGTTAGAATCTCTGCCTTTTCTCTCACTCATTTTCGTTACTTTCCAGTTCACTAATAAGTACCACGAAAGCACTGCACAGATCCTAAACCTAACTGAAACAGGTGGCCACGTTGCCTAGAATGCGTTAATCCCAATGGTTTATTGAGGCTTTCCTATATCACTGCTTGCGTCTGTTTAGGAATCCTAATTGATGTTTTTGTACACACTTCAACATTCAAATATTTCATAACTGACTTGAACAGCTTAAATCACTGCAGTGAGTGCTTGCTGCCTATGTTTTTAAGGTGACGTTGGAAATAATGTGGAAAGTGCAAATTTCAAGTAATGTTATGCAATTCATGTCATTAGCTCCCACAAAACATGCCCAGTAGAACACTTTATGACCGGTGCCCAACTCATCGCGGTAAACGTTGAGGTATGAACGTCATGTCACTCATTTTTTCCCTTGAATATTTCGGAATTCCACCAAAAGAAATTGCTGCGGTGCATGGAACACATCAATAATATTTCATTCATGGCCTACCATTGTGTTCAAATATTTAAGTGTGGAGATTTTTACAACTCAATCTCATCTCTCGCATGTTTTCCTTAGGTGACAGCCACATTAGGGTTTTTATCAAATTATACGGATGGCGAAAGCTTCATGGTACGCGAATTATGTCAACACCACCTTTCTTATTCGGATATACATGCCATGAATGTAAAACCTACTATGGGATAATATCATAGTAATGCTTGTCAGGGAAATGTGTCAAGAAACCTACATTCGGGTACACATAGTTAAGTGATAAATAAAACCCTTGGCATTACGATGCCAGTGTAGCAATATTCTCATCAATACCGACCAAGGAGGATTCTAGTTACCAGTGCAATTACGTGCTTTACATATTTACAAGAATGAAAGCACAATGTTATAGCTTCATAAATTAGGTAAGAGTTCTTTTTGACGATATCACGACTGCGAAGAAAGTGCAAGAGTGATTGCCTGTGTGTACAAAAGACATCCAAATGCTTTATGGAGAAGCCTCAATAATGGCAATAAATTAATAATACAGTGAATTCAAGCTGTGCGTATGTACAAGATTTTTAGTACAGTTTGTCTAAAGCATTCAGTGACAGTCACGGATAAAAAAATGAAATCTGTGCAAGCATGCTGCCCGAACCTAACGTACTCTGGAGGGTTATCCTACTAGAAACGCGATGTAACCTGTTTCAGGGTGTTTATGGTATAAGCTGGGCATGGGCAGCATCAGTTATATACGTGAAAATGTTTTCAATACCATTATATTACAATGTCGAACACATCAGGTGTACTTCACCCGGAACAACAGAGGTAGTAATACCGTAAAGAGCACCGATCTTTCTAAAACCATCATAAAGAATAGAGCGGCACTTCGTTTAAATTTTAAAGGCAAATTGTGAATAGTAGAAAGAACCCGAGTTCAATGAATTCGGTCAGAAGTCGGTTATGCACTGCACGCTTGGCATTGCTTTATAGAAACACTTTTCGAAAGAACTGATGCACCATTCATTTCACAAATGCATATTTTAGAAAGTATATTTGAATATTGATTGATTGGCGCGCTGCAGTTTTTAAAATAGTTGGTCAGAACTATTTATTTCGCAGTAATTTCTACCATTAGCTAGCAGCCAGAACAAAACACTCTTACCCTATTGGTGTCAAGGTTCCATTCCAACAATAGAGGCCTTGGCACTGCGGCGGTGGCATGCCTTCAATTCTTCCGTGCTGTACTGTTATGTTTCCATTGGTGCAGTTAACTACGAAGGATCAAACGAATGTCCCCAGTTGCTACAAACGTGTACCATTGTTTACTGTATGCATACTGAATGACTCCTCATAGAGTCACAAATCAGAAAGTTTGACGAGTAGTTATTTCTGTTGAAATCAGCTGTGACACGCGTGGTGAAAAATTACTTTTTTCGTATATTCTGGCGCTATTTTAAATGGCGCTGCCTGGAAAGCTCTGACTCTACATTATCAATTACTTCACTTTCTAACCAAACATCGGTTCTTTCATGGTAATTCCATCTGCCCATTAACGACCCCTGTCGTATTCATGATGAAATTCGTAATCGTCACGCTATTTGACGTTCAGTTCAGAACCAAGACCTCTCCCAATTACAACCAACATACCTTATCCTGTGAGGTCTATTAAGTGTTTACGACGACAGTTTTTTTATGGATCGCTCTACATGACTTGCTGTATTTTCCGGGTCTTCTTCAAAGTTTTTTTTTGCCATTCCATCACTGGAAACGACGGTCGCCCGACTGTCTTTTGCAATGCGTGACCTGCCGTGTCCATCTTTTTCTTAACTTCAACAGCAATGTCGGTTGCCCCTATTTATTGTTTGATACCCAATGCAGTTTTCTTATACATGTTATTGTTGCACCCAAAATAATGTCCTTCTACAAACTACACATCCTCTTCAAAACCATTACTTTCTTCTCCTGCACGCATTTCCCCATCAGCAAGTACTTGCAAATTGCATTAATTTATTGAACTGGATTGAGTTTATTGAGCAACAAGGTTGCAAGTAGACCAGGCGAAAAGCTTCATTGAGCAGATTGAGGGGAGTCAGGATAAAATATTGTTTGAGTCGGAAAGAAAGCTTCTCCTGCAGACGGCAAGAATTAAAACGTGAATACGAACGCGCCTAATCAGAAGTCGTTATTCTGCACTTCCATATTTATTGCTGAGTCATCTTGGTACAGCTCTAGTAATTCTTGTATTCCAGAATGCATGTGTTGCAACGCAGTGTTGAACCGATTGAAAACATTTTTTGTGAACACTGATATTACTTTATATATCATATAAAAATTGTGGTAAAATTCATGTCTGACTTAAAGGCAAAAAATAACAAAACCACCATTCACACTAATTTCTAGCAAATGCACCAAACAGCTTATATTTTACAAGGACGCCATGTATATAATAGCCACTTTAGTACTTTTGTGTTTTACATAGCCCATTTAAGGGCTTGAACTTGTGTTACTATTCAAAACGCCTGCAAAAGAATGAGCACTTTCTTTTCAGTCGTCCTGCGTCTTCTTTGACTGATGAAACAGTGACAAATTGAATGAGGACAGTTTCTGTAGTTTTTATGTGTCTGAGAATTTCAACTTAACGTTTCTCTTTGTTGGCTTAATTAATTTTGTCATGCAAATCTATTTTATGCACTTCGACAAGAAACACAAATTGCAAAAGAGAAGTCAATTAGGATAGCTTTAAAATTTACCGATAAAATGGTTTTCTTACCATAGGTTGGGGTAGGTCCGGGAATGCAATCTTTAAAGTCTGTTGTAGACAGAACAAAGAATGATTGCAATAACATCGTCCTTAAAGCAACCTTACTTAGCCACGCGAAGAACACTTATAAAATTGATACTAACTCTGGAATTCTAAAAATCACTAGTTCTTGCTAGCAAAAAGAAAACATGCAAGCTATTTAGCCTGAAGTACAAATCTCTTAGGTAATGGCTTAGGCACAGGACTGAGCAATGCATAGCTGTATGATAACAATTTCGGCCTTAAAAAGCAGCGTATAGTTATGCATCCACGTCACTTATTGTGGAAAAAACTGATAAATATTTGTATTTGTATTTTCAAAATGTTCCGCACTAACATAAGAACAATCGTTTCTTTTTGCACATGTAGATAGAATACGTTTAGTAAACGCGGAAAGCGTTTACCTTCTGCACTGGACGCATGCTAAAAAATTATAGTTATTCACTTAGAGTGCGTATGCATCGAAGATAAAAAATTTTCTAACGAAAGCAACTCGTGCAGTACCCATTCCAGATGGGTATTGGGGTGTTGACGCTGAGTATGAGAGGCTTCGGGCAATACGTCGCCGATCTGAAAGAAGATATCGGAGGTCGGGTAATTTAGAAGATTTCAAGGTTGCACAGAGAGTACATTCTGCAATGCGTAACCACCTGCAGAAGCTTTCAACCAAAAGGTGGCAAGATTTATGTGCCTCACTTTCTTCATTTACCTCGGCGCCTCAACTGTGGAACATGGTACGCGCCCTCCGACAGCCAGTAGTCCACTCGAGACCACTACAGGCTCTAGCGCTGTCTCGAGGAGTTAGCGAACGTGTGATTGCCGAAGAATTTTGCGATCTTATACTGAGAAATGGAGAGACGACCCAAACTAGAGAATATAAATCCTCAGCATAATCAGCTTCGGCGGTTGTAACAAAGTTTTCTGCGATCAGTTCATCAGATCTGGATGACAGCTTCACACCAGAGGAGCTCCAACATGTGCTGTCTTCAGTAAAACGAACAAGTTCACCAGGAACAGAAGGAGGTACATACGCTGCTCTTGCTAATTTGTGCAAAAAAGGAAAATACACCTGTTGGACATCTACAATAAAAGTTGGCAAGAAGAAAAAGTTCCGGAAAGTTGGAAGATATCAAAAGTAGTACCGTTGCTAAAGCCAGGGAAGAGCCCTATGCAGTTAGACTCGTTTAGGCCGGTTAGTTTGAGAAGTTGTTTTTCAAAAGTGATGGAAAAAAATTGCCCGCAGCTTCCCTCGGGGGAACACTGAGGAGGATGCGGAGCCGCTACCTCGGCACGCTTGCGCTCGCGGGCAGCATCGGGATCGGCCTCTCGTCGCCGACGCTTGCACTCGGCTTCCCGTTTTCGAAAGTCCGGGTCCTCTTGTCGACGCTTACGTTTCAAAGCGGCCGAATCCGGTGCTGCTGCTCGACGCTGACGTCTCTCAGCGGCTTCACGTTCTCTAAGTTGAGCATCTTCTGCTCGACGCCGACGTTTACGTTCGGCGTCGCGAGCTCTTCTCCGCGCTGCCTTGTCTTCGGACGACGACTTGGTTGCGGTTCCGCCAACACTTTGGCCGGCGCTGGTCGAAGGGACGTCGATCATTGCGACCTCGAACGTCGACGCGCTGTGCAAACCAACCGACGAGCGGCAACTGAGCGAGCGAGCACCAACCTTTAGTATATATACAGCGCGACGGTGCATGCACTGTCAGCTGTCGAATGTTCGAGAATGGGGAGAAGCGCAACGGCGCATGCGCGCGCGTCAGCTGCCGATGTTCTCGAAGCACGACGGCGCATGCGCGCGCGTCAGCTGCCGATGTTCTCGAAGCGTGACGGCGCATGCGCGCTACATTATACAGCTAGCGAATGTTCGTGAAGAGGAGAAGCGCACGCGGTGTGTAGAGGAGGAAGGGATGCACAGATGGTGGAAGAAGGAGGAGGAAGCTTGCGGACGGCGCCGCACTACAAGCCTCGAGTATTAGATGCTCCGCATCTAAAAATGATCAATGAACAAATTTTATGGTGGCAAGACATGGAAAAACTACTACCGGAAAGCATAGCCGGCTTCAGAAGAGGTAGATGCACAATGGACTGCATTCTGGATTTGGTCACAGATGTGGAAAACCAACGAACGCAAGGAAACATCACTGTCGCTGTATTCCTTGATGTGCACCGAGCATACGACACAGGGAGTCACGTTCACGTTCTGGAAGGTCTGGCGTTACAGGGATTCAAGGGCAAGGTACTGCGTTGGATCGCTGACTTCCTGAAGCACCGGAAAATTTTTGTAGTTACGCAGGAGGGCCCAACGTCAGAACATGTCGTCAACCAAGCAGTGCCAGAGGGCAGCGTGCTAAGCCCTACTCTCTTTAATGCAGTCATGGCGCCACTCCCGTATAATCTTCCACCTAACATCAGATGTTCAGTATATGCTGATGATATAAGTATATGGACGTCTGGTCCATCTTTTTTGGATATACAACAAACTCTACAAGAAGGATTGGATTATGTAGACTGCTTTTTTAAAAAAAGACGTATGGCACTAAGTCTGGCTAAAACAGCCATACTTCCGTTTACATTAAAAAGGCCTGGAAATTTCCAGATTATTCTGCAAAATTAGCCTATTGAAATGGTTAAAACTCATACATTTTTGGGAGTAATTTTAGACCGGAGACTGACATGGTCGCCTCATGTCCAGTCCCTGGAACAAAAAGTGAATCAGGCCATTCGAATCCTCCGGCATCTCTGCGGGGCCAAATGGGGTGGTACTACAGAGTCGTTATTAGCCCTACATGTTGCCTGGATACGCCCCATCGTAACTTACTCACTGCCTCTGCTGCACGGACTCCCAGCCTCCACCGAAAGGAGACTTCACTTGTTATTGGCAAGAAGCTTGAGGATATGTCTGGGTTTACCACGGTAAACTTCCAGTGTTTAGTGTATGCGGAGGCTCGAGAGCCACCTTTGGCAGTACTCCGATCTAAAGAAACATCTCGAAATTTATTTAGAGCTTTCACGCAACATGAAAGTCATTTTTTATCTGATGCACTAACACAAAGGACGGCAACAAGACTACAGGATACTATATCATCATTTCAGCAGTAGTACCAGAAATTAAACAATGGAAACCTTCAAAACCACCTTGGACGCTGCCACTTCTCAACGTTATCCGTGAAAAAGACGGCATAGAGAAGAAAGTAGACATGGCACCTCTAGTAGCGGCACAGTTGGTACTTCATCAGCGTCATGTAATGCATAATGAAAAAACGAAGATATATACAGACGGATCATGCACAGAAGAAGCGTCAGCCTGTGCCCTCTTTATACCCGAAATTCAGAAAAAGAAGATGTACAAATTATCCCACAAATCTTCATCGACGATAGCAGAATTGGTGGCTATCTTTGAAGCAGTTAAGCTTATCTGCGAGAATCCTAAGACACAAAAATGGGTGATATGCACTGATAGAAAACCTGCTCTTCAGCTAATCAGAAATTTGAGATCACCTTACAAAAATGGTGAAATAGCACAATGTATCGCAGAAACTGTGGAATATTTCTCATCGCAGGGTCACAACATCGTATTACAATGGATACCCAGCCACATTGGAATAAAGAGAAATGAATATGCAAATAGTCTCGCAAAGAAAGCATTGAAGGAAGAACGGGATTGCGCAATCCCTATGTCTGCGGCGGATATTCGGCATTTTATATCGCAAGGAGCTAACCATTGTTTGATGGAGAAGTGGTTTGAGAACCCTAAATCAAAGGAAACGGTACTTTATGAAGTTGATCCACACAGAAAATTTTCCATAGCGACAGACCTCCCACGACACCTAGAGACATTGATCCACCGGCTTAGATTGGAAGTAGCATACACAAACAGCTTCCTGCACAAGATACATCGATCCGGCTCACCGGAATGCCATTGTGGTCATGCAGAAGAAAATGTTCGCCATATTCTTTTGGAGTGCGTTATATGCGCGAATGAAAGAGAAAAATTAAAGAACAAATTAGCAAGTTTGGACAGACGGCCCCTCACAATAAAGAAACTACTTGGACCATGGCCTGAGATGCATCTCCAGAAAAAAGCAATAATCTTCCTGGCAGACGTTTTAGTGGACACCGGACTGGACAAGCGCCTATGACTGACAGCCAGAGATGGGTATTATGTAAATTGTGTTCATGTATATACTGACATTAGAGTAGTAAGGTGTGCGTGTAAGTAGTTTATGACTGGGAACTGCGTGAAGAAAACTGTGTATTGACATGATATTTGAACTGGTTTCAGTGTGCTATTATGTTTTTTTTTCTTTTTTTTCTTTTCCGTATTGTTAATTTTTGGGTACCGTTCTGTAATATTATTTTATTTTTCGCTGCAGAACTTTGTGATATGGAGTAGCCGAGGCAATAGGCACCTCAACCTCTCCACAACAAAACAGTTAAAACAGAACAGAACAGAACAGTGCGCATTAGAATAGTAAACTACACTAAAGGTATAGCTCCTTCATTTAGCACTAATAGTTTAGCACATTATCGCAATATTGTGACATAGTTTATTCTTATAAAGTCAGCAAGCAAATGTTTGCTTTTCTGCAGCAATACTAATATGTGTTGTCATCACTGTAAAACTGTTACAGAAGAAGATAAATAATTTGGTCGAGCTTTTTTTAAAACACAAGAAAATGCGTACTTCGCTGACCTAAGACACGTTCACAAAGGTTTAAAGGTGCCTGTAGCAACATTGCTGCACATATAGTAATCTTCATCATCCTGGCTTTTAGGAATGAAAATGGATCTGCAAAATGAAAAAAAGAGGCACGACTGAAACAAATATACCCTATTTTCACAGTTTTGAACGGATAAACATAAAATTCTGTCAGGACAAAGTCTCGAAAAGCGTCCTTAAACGGAAAAAAACATGCTTACTGAGTCCTTCCTATCATGATCTAAACGGTTCTTAGTTTTGCTGGCGATGTCTTTAAGCTTATTATGTTACTCTATCTTGTTCAGTGATAAATCATCAGACAATACATTTTTATGACGCAAATATGCTTTGAAAACCTATGAGGTAATGTTTGAATGAGGAAGCCAATCAGAAGTGTGAACGACGAAGTCACGCATATTTGATTTCCTGCATGTCATACATGTTACAAAAGCGGCTCTGATCACTACCCTGATCATCACGCACAAGTCATCGGTGGCCATTTAGTCCGCTACAGAATAGGTGGCTCAGAGATTTGAGAGACTATATTGCTTCTTATATATTTAGGAGTCAACACAGCAGTTGTGACATCGCTGATGAACTCTGCGACCATCTTGGGCAGTTGAGGACATCACTGTTTTAGCGCCTCCCCATATGCAGGGGTGTAAAGAAGAAATAGGTATTTTCCATGCACTTAGCGCATCAGCAAGATAACGGGCCGTCCTCAAGGCAACAGATTGGATTCCAAGAGAAAGAAAAAAGAAAACGCACGATAGACGTTAATTAGGCCGATGAGATTACGATGTTCGCAGGTATGTAAATCCAGCAAAAGGCACCGGACCGGGTAAATTGGCTGAACGTGTGCGTGAATAATGCACGGTGTGGTGCTAGAGGCCGAGTCAGGGGACTCATAATGTCGCCTTTGGTCGCCTGAACCGCAGTAATCATGTAATGTCAAACAAATAAGTAAAAAATTTGCAGATCTCACGTACAGTGGTATCTATGATATGTGAAGCATGAATTAAGAATGGAAATAGGCCACTTTAAAACCAGCACAACGTCATGAGGCATAGCTAAATTATGTCGTGCTTGACTTTCGTGTCATGATTATCATGCTCAGAAGTTTCATTTGCCTTAGTCATTTAATAACGTCACCTGATACCAACTTTGGTACATGTCAAGTTAGCATAACAGCCATGAGTGTGCAATGAGCGCCGCATGTAGTCATGTTTTACAGGAAATTCATATCATTATTATCATATTTTCACGTGTCATTTACATTATTCGTCTATTCACGTCACGTAATACAAAATTTGGTATATGTGGAACCAGTGAAACGGCCGCGTGAACGCTATGGGCGTAGCATGCCGACATGTTTTACATGAAACGCATAATTATGATTATCAGATTTGGATGTATTCATGTTTTACATGAAACGCATATTATGAATGCCAGGTTTGGACGTGTTATTTACCTTTGTTGTCTATTTGCTTCCCGTGACACCAAATTTGATACATGTGCAGATAGCGCAACGGCGGCTAGCGCGTCATGAAGGGCCAATATACACCGACAGAATGTTGACGCACGCGCAGTCTGGGCGCAGTGACGCCACGCTAGCAAAACGCGAGCAATTTATAGTGCGACGCCAGGTGCCGCCGTCGCAATCAGCGTCCGTCGGCGCGGCCCAGCAGCAACCGGCGCGAAATGCGACATGCTGCATTTCGCGCCGACGACGTTACTTAAACAGCACCGCACCTGCCTTTCTTCATGACGGAGGAACGCCGTGTCCGCTCAAACGCACATGCATGAAAGCAACGCAGCGCGGTGCGTGCCTTCAATTATATGGCATGTAGATCTACAATGAAGGTCTGTGAGCAGATCCGCTGATATCTACTAGGCGTATAACGGCGCTTGATGAGCGGGGCCTTTGCCTTGCAGGGGCTATAGTCAGACTGATAAATATAATGCTGCTGCTGCTGCTACTGCTGCTGCTGCTGATGATGATGATCATAATGGTGAAGTTGATGATGATAATCATCATCATCGGCATAATAATTTTAAACAGGAAAACTTTTTTTGTCGTTAGGTAGCACTACATAGCTGTGCAAAAAATACAAGTATCTCTTGCGGCTACACCGTAAAGCTTTCGTTTAGTGTAGTGAAACCATGTCTGCAACAAGGAAGCGGTTCTTTTTTTCAAAGACGAAGCTTGTGACTTATCCAGATGTCACACACATCCAGATGTCAACACATCCCAGGTTAGAAGTAAGGACTGACGTTTCACCAGCAGGTTCTTCGCACGCCATCGAGGTAGACGTAGTCATAAACGCAGCTTGCCTTTGTTGTTCAAAATGTGAATTACAAAGGCACGGTCGATTCTTCAAGCCAAGTTTCAGGGTCTTGCACAAATTCGCCGTATTGCACAAGTGTCACAATATTGCACAAATGTCGCAGCTTTCTTGGTTGCCGATGATGGATCGATAAATACTGCACAGGGGCTTCACAGCCTTTTGGCACCTTGTCGTTCGTAGCTAAATTCACTGTTTCTAAGGTGTGGGTCGTAATTTGTGTAGTTTTTTTCCAGCAGGAACGTGTACTCTGACTGTAGTACTTTCTGCCTCCGGCTATTCCGTTGGTCGGGACCGTCCTTAGAAGACTCATGTATCCAGAGTACGATTGTAAACCACCTATATCAGATGTCCTGTCTTCGTGACGCCAAAGGCAGCAGTAAGCTTGTTCAGGATTAAATCGACTAAACTCTTTCTTAGCGTGCCCTTGTGTCCAAAAACTAAACGTTGTACTACAAGCATATACGCTGTGAAATCATAGCACCAAACACAGCGCTGCCCATCAATTATCAGATTTTTTTTGGTAAGGCGTGTCGGCATTTATACAACGGCGTCGAACATTCGAGCCTTATCCCAGGGGGCAGCATTAGCTCTGATGTATTGATCGTGTTTACATAATAAAGCGTACCAGAAGATTCCTAAATAATTGAATAATGCACCAGTTCTGTAAAAATAGCAAGAAATGTGCATTGGGCAGAGCAACCTTCCTCATATATATATATATATAATATATATATATATATATTATATATATATATATATATATATATATATATATATATATATATATATATATATATATATAATATATACAGACAAAGAAGGTATTGGCTTTGGTTGCTGTATATATCAATGCATGAGGTGCGACATTTCAAGAACACTTTGTTTATCACGTCAACGTAATAATTGAAGATTTCTTGAAGTGCTTATATAATATATATATATATATATATATATATATATATATATATATATATATATATATATATATATATATATATATATATATATATATATATATATATATATATATATATATATATATATATATATATGTATATATATATATATATATATATATATATATATATATATATATATATATATATATATATATATATATATATATATTGTTATGGGGAGAAGGCGTCTGAAATAAATATACCTTTACTTTTGGTAAACAGGCAGGCATACAATATGAAGCCCAGTCAGCACGAGGTCGCCCTAAACATCGTCCTCTTTTCTACAATGTTCGTTTGTGGCGCCCCGTAGCATCACCCCCGGCGGCGAAGGCACTGTCTCGGTGCTTGGTTAATACGAGTAATATCGCTTCAGCCTCGTGACGTGAACAACGTGAGAACACGATCGCGCACTGGTGGCGTTAAGAGGTTCAATTTCATATGTCACGTCGGTGACTTGATATACCACACGGTACGGACCCGAGTACGGTGAAGTCAGCTTTTCGCACAGGCCAACTCGCCGCGACGGCGTCCAGAGAAGGACTGTGTCAACTTGACTGAAGTGGACATCACGATGGCACGCGTTGTAGACCTGTCGTTGTCGTTCTTGCGAATCGCTCAGACGCCGGCGAGCAATCTCCCGTGCCTCTAGAGCTCTAGAGATGACATTGCGGGCATATTCTGGCGTGTGGCTAACGGCAGGAAAGAGCATGTCAAAAGGCAACGTAGGTTCTCGTCCGTACAGGAGGAAAAATGGCGAGAAACCTGCAGTGTCATGCCGAGACGTACTATAGGCAAATGTTACAAATGGAAGGGCGGAGTCCCAGTCACGATGGTCGGAAGAAACATACATGGCGAGCATGTCCGTGATGGTTCTATTTAGCCGCTCCGTGAGCCTGTTGGTTTTAGGATGATACGCCGTTGTGAACTTGTGTTTTGTAGTGCAAGAGTGTAATATGTCTTGGATAACTTGTGATAAAAAGTAGCGATACCGATCAGTAAGCAGTTGCCGAGGAGCGCCGTGGTGTAATATGACGTCTTCTAGAAGAAAGTCAGCGACGTCGGTCGCACAGCTGGTAGGAAAGGCTTGCATGGTGGCATACCGAGTGGTGTAATTCGTGGCAACTGCTATCTACTTGTTCCCGCTGGCCGATGAAGGAAACGGTCCTAGTAAATCAACACCTACCCTATAAAATGGTTCAGATGGGATCTGAATGGGCTGAACGCGTCCCGCTGGAAGGTTTGCTGGTTTTTTGCGGTGTTGACAGGGTTTGCATGAGGCGACGTAACGGCAGACGAATCGGTAAATGCCGGGCCAAAAGAAGCGACGTCGAACGCGGTCATAAGTTCTTGAAACTCCCAGGTGACAAGCTGTCGGAATATCATGCAACTGTGCAAGGACAGTCTGACGCATATGTTGTGGTATGACCAACAGCAGCTCAAGTCCATCAGAATGCATGCTGTAGCGATATAAGACGCCATCTTGTAGCAGGAACATATGGAGAGATGAAGAAGTTGTGGGTCCACTAAGCCGAAGGTTTATATCTCTGAGGTGAGAATCACGGCGTTGCTGATCTCCGATGTTGCTAAACGCGGAAAGTGCCAAAACGCAAATAGGCTCATCGCTCTCAGAAACGTCTGCTGGGTCTACTGGATGACGCGACAAGCAATCGGCATCTTGTCATCAACCTTCCGGCAGAGGGCGCACATCTTGCATGTACGTACGTACGACTCGGTACAGGACTGGATTCGGCACGCTAGTTCTTTCTGCGCAGCACGAC